TTTTAATCTTCTTATCGTTGAAAGTTGACTTCAGAATTGGAAGGTTTCTTTAGGAGATGATCCAGCATATTAAAATTACCATGTATATATTTTACACGTTTGAAGCGTGGAATTAAGCCGTCTTGTGTCACGTGAAAAACGGAGATTTCCTCCTTCAATCAAGGGGTAGACAACGTGATGTAGAAATTTGGGCAGCGTTGTTCAGCCATTGTTGCCAGATTTTGATAACTTATTTGCCTTATTTTCCCTAGTTTTTAAATTTTTAATATTATCCGTCAAACGTCGTTCAGCAGAAGATCCTCTGCCGTTTTGTTCATGAGCGACCGTTCTTTACTTAGAAGACTAGGCTACATTGAGGTTTAAAATTTGCTAATGTTTCATGAATATGACAGCAGCAGCAATGGCTAGTGCAATGACAAAATGTGAGCTGCTATGCTTAAGCCAGCTGAGACTGTGTTGTTTTTTCTGAGGCATTAACTTTTTTAGCCTTTCGCCTTCCTTCGTTATGTTGTCACAATAGGGCTGAATCCATTTTTGGGAGAACACTATAAAACAGTACTGCAAAAAGCATGTCAACGATGTCGTGGCATACCGTGGAATTCATAGTTCAAGGGTTACTAAGTGCAAGAACACGGCTACGCCGTGTAAATCCAAAGAAGCGTCAGACTACGATTCATAATTATTCTCGGTACTATATAAAATCTATGCCTTTGCACTATCTCTTAGAGGTTTAAGTACGTTTCGGCTTAAATTTAGGCGGTGACCAAAGGGTTATACTACTATCCAGAGTGGTAATCCGTTCTTGAGGGTACTGAAACTGATTCGTTTTTCAATCAGAGTGGATTTATGCAGATTGTACCCGACAGTACCTTTGACCTCAGCCCTGTATATGCTGACAACAGTGCTGAGGTTAGGAGTTGGCTTAGTAATGGTTTAATAAAATCGCGATATTATCACCGTTGACTGAACCGCAAATCAGTTTCAGTTCACACCGATATGGACAGATTACCACGCTGAGCGATAATATAGATAATGCTAATGACTACGGCGGCATGTATTAAAACTGATTTGTCATTCTGGGGTACTATATTATGAATGATCCGGTTTATATAGCATATTAGGATATTTAATCGAATAATCACATTAAACTCTAGTTACAACTTGGTCATTCATAACTCAAACGCATGGGGCTAATATTTTTAAAAAGTTAATTATATAGTCAAAGAAAAAACTCGTTATAGGTGGCGGTTCATATTTCATGATATCCCGAAATCTCGGTGCGGAATTCGGAAGTGCGGTGGGAATACTCTTTTACTTGGCCAACGCCGTGGCTTGTTCGATGTATTTAATTGGCACTACTGAAGTTTTGCTGGTAATTGATTTTTGAGATATATGTGTTTCTTCAAGATAATCGATTTTGGTAAAAAAAATCTTTCAGCAATATTTAACACCATTTAATTTAAAAATTTGCTTTTTCATCAATATAGTCTATGGCAATGTTCTGAGACAGGCAAAGCATGTCTACTCCTCTCTGTGCTGGATAATGCCAAGTAGGATAAATTTAAACAGCACCTCGGTAAGAAGCAAACTATGGATAAATATTCCATTTTTAATTACATAGGCTAACAGAATGGCGAACTTAATTGGCTCAAGCGAAAACAAGTCTAGCAAATTAATTCTGTCTGGGGCAGCTGATCTCTGTAGCAGGCATTCAATTCCAGGAAGTTAACAGAGGAGTAAAAATGATGTGGAATTAGATTAAAGACATCTCTATATACAAGAAAGTGCCCTTGTGCGTAAAACACAAGGCAAGGAACAGAAACAACGAACATCAGTGCTGAAGCTTCT